TCAGAATAGGGTTTTGGGGCCCGCTATACTAAATTTATAATAAGGAAGCCCCGGAACAATATTGGTAATTACTTAGGCTCCTACATTTGGCGCTTGCCAGTTGCGGAAAACAAGCTACTTGGTGCAGAACTCTACGGTCCGGGCCCTGAGGCTTGCAGGTTCTGATCTTGAATGAGAGAGCGCTCAGGAATCCTGAATTGGGAAGAAGTTATGGCGTCGGGGGCTGAACAGTTGGGGGGTGGTGGTGTTTCTAAACACTTCTAGTTCGAAATCTTGCAGGCATTAGGGTGTTGACCTGTTAGGAAGCTATAAAATCTGGACGGGCTCGCGGTTTCCAGGGCGGTCTGTGGTCTCATAGCCTTGGGTCGTAAGCCGAAGTCTCCATCAGAAGCCCTCGCAAAACCCACCTTACAAAAAGCCCATCGACACCGGGGACACGAAAATACACACCTCTTCTTCACACCCTATCCAAGACCTGAGTTCAAAGCTCGCAAGAGCCCGCACTCTAAAGCCATGAAAAGCCTGCAACAGCGCAGCAAGCTCTTGCACAGTGCTCATCGTGTCGATGTGCACAGGGCCGAGCTGCTTCTCACGTCCTCTGCAGGCAGGCAGTTGGGTTCGGATTTCTTTAGGATTCTACAAGGGCCTGGTTCTTTCAAGGGCTTGGTAGAGCTCAGGGGGCGAAGGATAAATGTTGCATTTTCGGGTCAAAGGTTTTGGGATTAGGTTCATGGCTAGCAGTCCATGATGTACCGGCTCTCAAAGAGTATCATCTGTAACGGCACACCACCTCGGATAAGGTTTTCGGGTTCGAGAGCTTTTTGAGAGGGTTTCGGGTTAGCCTTCTCAAGGGTTAAACACCTGGTTTTTTTGGTGGCTACATAGTGTGGCTGCGCTTTCGTGGTTTCGTCGGAGACAGGGGTTGTGAGTTTCGGATTCGGGGGCTTTGATTGGGTTTAGGGTTAGGGATGAGGGGCTACCGATTTGGGTTTGAGGGCCACGAAGGGGGTTAGTTCACT